AAGACTCTCTTATCCAGGTTCTGGGTCAGTGGAAGTCATCGGCATTCACTCGGTATATTCTGACTCCAAGGAACACCCTGGTGGGGGTGGCCCAGACTCTAATGGCTTCCCATTGACTTTTCTTGTTTGAGTTTGTGTTATGTTGGGCCTTTTGCTCTTGTTATTCCTACTTATGTTTATGTTATGTTTTATTGTTAAGATCTTGCATTCAATGCTTTTGTACCTATTATATCTCATATTCCCACAAATGTTTGGGGAGTGAGATGCCTGCGGCATCTCTGGCGGTGTTGGTTCCCATCACACACTCCCCCATATTTGTGTAGTCTGCCTGTAACCATCCTGAGTCTCTATTCGGGCCCCCTGGGAGGGGGGGTTCCTCTGAATGGCCCCTTCTTACAATGTGGGGCACAAACCCTAAGCCGGCTCTCCAATTGAGCTGCTCTCTTAGTGGGTTCCCAGCCCCTGGCAGGGGGCATGACCATTGGTTACCCATGGCATGCCCGCTGTTGGCGCCGGACCATTCGGCGGCGTTGACATGCCACTGTTGGTTGTGATGGGCATATCCGTATGCCCACTGCACATTCGTGGCTCTCACTGTTAGCGATGGACCAGTCGGTGGCTCTGACATGCTATGGGACACCTGCCGGTGCAGCATGCTCAGATGCTTGCCTCACAGCCATGGCATCATGCTGTTGGTGCTGGACCATTCGGCAGCACTGACATGTCATGACCAGCTGTGCTCCCACCGTTGATGCGGTTGGTCTTATCCATGTACTCCTGGGGTTGTTACCAACCCCTCGGCTGTGGTTACAGGCAGGATCTCGGGGAGTGGCCCTCGCGAAATTCCAAACGTCCTCCCTCCTCATTTGAGGTTTCCGGAGGCCGATAGTCATTAAAGCTAATATAATCGCTATTGCCTTTTGTATTATTCTGTATCAATGTTTGTTTGCTTCATATGCCTTTTTAATTAACAAGTATTTAATCATGTTTTCTACATGTATATTATTTAGATTCATTAGTCATGCAGCTGAATATTGATGATTTTCCAATGCAACTGACCAGGGCTGAAGAGCAATTAAAAGATGAAATGGCAAGGATAGCCAATTTAGAGAAGAATAACACCAGGAAACCATTAGAATTACAACAGGAGTAAGAAGAAATAGACAAGCATCTCCAACAAGAAGCACAACAAGCATTATACCAGTCAACCGATAGTGATGACATCCACTTGGGTTCTTCAGATGATGATGATGATCCACCTACATTACCACCACCTATCAATATGAATCATCAACGTCATTCTGCTAGTAGTAATTTAACTCCACAGTCCTATAAGTACACTTGCATCAATCCCCAATACCCATATCAGTCTCCCTCTTCATATTAATATTCACCAGAGCAACCTGACATTGCCAGATCAACTCTTCATCCTATACAACTTTCAAATTACTTCACTCCACATCCTATTACCCCACAACTTAGTCATGGTACATGGAACACAGCTAATAGCAAGGCACCAGGTCCACAAAGCACAGTACCACCACTTCTTCCATGTCTTCCACCCAGTACCACTCCACAGCCTTGTCTTCCCATTAAAGGCAGGAGAAAGAATGAGAAACAATTTAATTTACCTACTACAGAAATTAACAAGGATGATCTTCTACCTCATGAGATGATTGTCAACAGGTATCAGTCACTCTGCAAGGAGAATGTGGTTGGAACTTTGGCAGTGAAACTTGCCAATGAAAGTTTTTTTTGAAGTGATGTGCTTAAAAGATGTACAGTTATGGGGTGTTGCGATTATCGAGCTTTACCTTTAAAGGAACTTAATGCATTGAAGCAAGTTATTATTTCTTTGTTCTCAAAGTATTGGTATAATCAATCTGAATTTGAAGTAAAAATTTGGAATGCAGGCACAAATTCTATTGGACAGTTATGTGAAAGACTACTTCAGTAAAGAAAAGAATAATCAAAGAATGATGCAATTGATAACTTTGTTGTGTTAAAATAATTATTATAAAAAAATAAAAATAATAATAATAATTAATAATTAATAATTCACAAAGAAATTAATTTTAAAATAGTTATACTGAATAGTTAATACCCTGTTGCTGTCCCTTGTAATTCTGTTACTTTAGGTATCACTTTTTTTAAATGTGTGATATACTTAATACATTTGGCTGGAGTAACTGTCTTCCAAAAATTCTTGATGCCTTGAAGCAACTCGGATTTAGTTTTAGGCTACACCTCACGACAAATGTACTCCTATGTAGCAATATAGTAACTAATAAAATAATGTTAACACTGCATGCATATACCTTGAGTTCATGCCAGAGGTTTTTAATAGGATTTAAGTCTGGTGACTCAGCTGGTGTATGCCACCAGTTAACACCATTATTTTTCAAATAGTTAATAGCATCATTTGATGTGTGCTTTGGATCATTGTCTGCCATTAGACGGTGACTATGAGGATACATATCTTCAAGAAAAGGCAAAAGAGTTTTCCCCAATATTTCTATGTATAAAAATCTATTCATGATGCCATCAAATATACATATCCCACTTCTTCCACGTTTGCTTATTCCTGCCCATATATGTACTTTTGTTGGATGCTTTGGCCTAAAAGAATAAAATACATAAAATGTGACCCAATATGAGAAAACCAGGCTATCTGCGGGAATTATCAATTAGAGACATGGCTTCCCAAAGTTGTGACAGTGGTACCTTATCAAAACTCAGATTTTATCAAAGATGTAAAGTATCAAGAATTTTCTTTCATTTGATACCAAGTTTGCCTGTAAATAAGTTAAAAGAGGTATTTTACAGACCTTTCTTTTTATTGTGCACCATGTAAATAATGCAAGGTATAAGGATAGAAATGGCTGAAACTCAATTGCATCCGTTTATACTTCTTTTTGCATAAATAATCATAACTCAGCAATAGATGTGTGAAATGACATGGGACAAAGACCAAAAGTAAGGAAAAATTGTGCTTAAATAAGAACAGCAAAAATATCAATTTTCAATTTCGGAGCAGATAGCCTGGTTTTCTCATATCGGGTCACAAATAATGACACTGCATTATAACAACTTATAAAAACAATTAGCTACCTTGGTTTCAGACGAGGGGCACGATTTTTCTTTCTACAACAATGACGCATATGAGATTCCATTTGAACAGTACATTCATCAGTGTAAATTTCATCCAAGAACTCATCAACTTTATACAGCAATGCCCAATCCAGTCTTTTCTGCTTATGTACATCTCTAATCAGCTGGCAATAAGCACTGCCTCGAAATGTCCATCCCAGTGACCTTCGGCAGCGCAGAATGGTTTTCAAAGATATATTGTAACCTTTCTGTACAAGAAGTGAATGTAGTTGGTGAGCGGTAGTTTCATCGTCAAGTTCCATTTGATCATCCATACTCTTCCTTATTTCTGCAGTGATCTTAGAAGACCTACCACTTCCAGCCTGCCACAACATACTGCCGCTTTCTGCAACCCTACTTAAAAACTTGTGAATACCTTCCCTGGAAGCAAAGATTTCTTCAATGAGCATCTTCTTCCTTATGGTAGGCGCTTTCATACCCTTACTGTAATAGTAAATCATCCTTTCCTTTTCATAAGGGGAAAACAACATTGCTTCAGACAAGTGAGTAGAACAGTTCCGAAAAGAACTGGTTAGAGCAGCTTCAGAAAGACCAAGGATTAGTTATAAGAACTGCACAGCAGGTTGCTTTGCTTCAATTGCGTGTACTGTAGTGTGGGCATAGCTGTGAATGGAACCACTCCCAAAAAAAATTATTAATGATACTTTAAACAACATTAAAAGAATAATTATTCTGAATTAATCAAAAATGTATAATCATAATGAAAGTAAAGTCTCTGTGATTATTACAATATACGACTAACGTTGATCTTGTATAACCAATCACAAAGTCTTCAGCATGGTTACAAGTCAAGAGTACTCTGGCATCAATAACAAGTTATGAATGAGGTATCCTATGATGAAGAATAAAGATCGTTAAGTTTAAATTATACTATTATTGCATTATTTAATCACCATTCTTATTAGTAATAATTAATTATCTGACATGTAGCCATTTTCTTCAATTATTTTAAAAAAGGTAAAATATCAAGGGCTAATTTAATATCGCTAAAGTACAGTTTGAAAAAAGCCTACAAGGGCACAACTTGATACTATAACCTGGAGCAAGACTTTATGCATACAGCAAATAAAATTGGCTTAAAAAGAACAGCCACCGGCTTAACCACGGAACAAGTGGCAGTACTGACAATTGCAAACATCAGTGACATGCTGTGCCTAATACTAATCAATTTATATACTACTGTACCTGAATGAGAGCTTAGATTTAAGTATAGGACTCAGGTAATCTTCATTCAGCCCATCATAGCGGTGGCAGTCAGTCTGCTGTTTGAGCCCGTGCCCCTAAGTGAGCCGGTGGCCATCCAGTAAGCTCACTGAGTCAAGAAGCACAATCAAATGTAATAGTAGCACAAAAGGAGCTCTGAGTAGTTCCAACGCAGTCAGTTACTGCAGAAGAAAATTCACCACTCCAAACGGCCATTTTCTTGCTGTCGCCCCACCTATATCTGGACATTCTTGTTCACCCCCACATTCAATAATTGTTAGCAAAAAGTTGAAAACGTGGCTTTATTGCGTTTTGTCTGAACTTTGTGCAAACGAAACAAATACAGAAACGGTACAAAAAGATTAGTTGTACAATAGTTTTACTGTGTAAAAATGTGAACTTTTTTTGGCTGGTACTCTACACATATGAATCTAGTGAACAAACCTCCAACCCAATTAAAATAAACAATGGAACTAATTAAAATCAAAGACATGTGTGTATATTCCAATAATTAAAAACACTTGACTAACTTTGTTTAAGAATATCCTTTCTTCTTGGTCAACTGTCTCTTCTCCTTCCTAGCTCCTAATCCATAATTGAAGGTATCCAATGCCAAAGACAGAACTTATAAAAATCTACCATAAAAACACATTGCTGTTAATCTAAACGTACTTACATGTACGAACATATTAGAGTATACATGTGAGAATGAGAAAAATCAATTCTTTAAAGTAATAATACACATAGTACACATGTATATTTATAAGTAGAAAGAATCCTACAGTTACATGTAGACTATGGCCCAAAGGCTAGATGTGTAATACCTAGACTACATGTGTATGAAATTGACATTATGGAGGAGGCCATAAAAAGTCAATTGAGAAATCTGTATGTGCAATAGTGACACAAAGGTTAACTTACCAAGAAAGGGTTTGGGCAAATTAGGCATTTTTATAAAACTGGATTTATTTGTTGTCCACTTATTTGGATAATCAATTTTTTTTCTGACTGAGTCCCTTGGCTTCTTTTCTAAAAAAGGATATTTTCAAATTATGAAAATAGATCTAAGTACATGTATATGTAAATTTTCAAAATCTAAATTAAATTATTTGTTCTTTACAATAGGATTTGTGCTTACTTTAGTGGCAATCAAATTCATTGTTATGATGATACTTGCATTTAAAGTTAGTCAAGACACTATAGAATATAATATATATGCAAGCTTTTACATGCAGTTAGCACAAACAATGTGTAAGAGGAGGAGGAAGTACATTAATCTTGTTAATGCGTCAGTTCAAGGATTTAAAATTGAAGGGAAAAATCCTATATTTTATACTATTTACAGACCCAAACCATGGAAATGTGTGGACACATAACACTACATCAGTCTACATGTATATGCTTGTTTAAAACAATGAGTTCATGTTATGTAGGTTTATCACTTACTGTTTTATTGCCAACAATTCAGTTTGAATGAATAAAGCTCAGTCTTAGTTGTGCCTGAGTTGAAGTAATGTCAGAGGCCACCAGCCTGGCTAAAAATTGACTATAGCGTCAAAGACAGTCTAGCGACATTTTCATTTCAGATTTCTTCTTCCTTGCTCCACCTCAATGGCCAGAAGCAGCTTGGATCTGGCTAATATATATGCCAGATCATATCTAGCCAGACCCAGAGTAGAACCAGAGTAGAACTATCCTGCTTCTATTTTTTAAATGCCTAGCGCACCCTAGCCAGGTTTCCAGTTATTTTCAATGATTATGGTTTCTAATAGCAACACTGCTTGTATAGTATAGCTGGAGGCATAAAATCGAGCAGAAAGTGTAGATCTACCAGTGATTTTTGTTCTTTGAGGACCCCTATAGGGCACTACTGCCTTTAACTTCGTCTGCCATTGGACCATTCACTGTAAAAACTTAAGTGTGTTTTTCACACTGAAGTCAGTGAGTTAATTATGTCTCCAGGCCACACCTCCAAAAGTGTGCATGCTACTCTAGTAGTCTAGTATCCACACCATGCTTATCACACTCACACATAAATGTCAAATGAAAACTAATGAACATTATTCACATGATAGTAGGCAGTAGTACAAAATACAATGTATATTAATGAGCAGGTGACACAACAGACATCAGGTGAGTCACGCAAGCTGCTAATTGTTTCTTAGGTTTTATTCCAAAAAGTAGTCCTTCCAAAAATTAAAACACATTTCCAAATTTTTTTGGATAATGTACATCGTCTACAAAGAAAGCTGACATCAAAGTGATGGGCATATCTCTGGTTGTTGGAACAGAACAGATTAGTTTACAATAAACAACAAAATACATGGAGGAGTCCACTATAAGTATATATGGGCTATTAACGCTGATATCAGAAAAAGCAGCAGAAATATCTTTATCAGTATCATTGTCTTCCTACATGTAAATGTAACGACAATAATAATAAATGGTAATGATGATAATAGTAGTATTAATAATAATAAATCAGACTAATAATATTTCAATAAGTACTAACGTAATAACAATATTATCAATAATTAAAATAAGAGGTTACTTACACATTGTAAATAGCATACAATTGTGTCACTACTAATTTACAACAAGATTCTCGTAAGATGTAGGGCAATACAAGAAAAGCAGGAACAGCTGTCTAAAATACATCCTAAGGACAGTCTGTATAAAATATACCTTACCTGTCTCTGTTACTAACTTCAGAAGTCCTCTAAGTCTAGAATTACTAACTGACTCAGTCTCACTGGCAACTTGAAAATAAGTTTAGACTTGACCTCCCATCCTGCTGCATTGTCAATGAACTCTTTTGGCTTTTAGAGTATTCGGCACATCTCAGACATTAATTATAATCAAACAAAAATAATAAAAGCAAAAGTTATCAAATTCATGCGTAAATCAAATACCTGAATATAATCTTGCAAAAAGGGTAAACTTCAAATAGAGCTTGCACACCAGAATAACCATTTTCAGTTAATCTTTCCTTTGCATACCAAATGACCGAGTCATTAAATCATCAACAAGAGAATCATTGGGTTGACATTTCTTATGTTCAGCCTTCCACCTTTTTTGATGCTGTTGAAAAAAGAACTCATCTTCCCCTTCCTCAATTTTAACAGAAAAAATGACTAAATAATCTCCTGGCTGTTTCTTAGCAACATCTGTCTGTTTCCTTTTAGAGCTAGTGGCATCAGGTAGTGTATTATGCGACTTCTCTCTACGAAATTCTTTGAAATGGTTAATAAGTTGTACAACAATAGCAGCCTATATAAAACAATAATACAAAACATCACAATATTGTATTAACTTACATGAGGTGATCCTGCCCCAGAAGGAGCTCTAAGAAATGGGTATTTATTCACAATTGTACACCCAACACAATTATAGTCTTCTCGGGTGGAATACATTTTGCAGGCAAAAATTGCTGATGCTACAGCAGATAAAAAAAGACTTCTTGTACTCATCCTCATTTTCCCCTCTTTCAATGCCTTTTCAACTTCAGGCCTGTAGCGTTTTGGTAGAGGAAAGGGATCAGCAAGTGGTATATTGTCATCATCTGTCTTCTGTACTCTCATCTTCTTTGTAGTGGTATCAGATACAAATTCTGGTTCGATAACATTGACAGAAATAGGGAAACTGGTGATTGTGGTGACTGAACTGAGCTACCTTCTGCATCATCATCAGCAAAAATTATTCTGTGCCTTTTAGTTGGTAGGTCAATTATAGGGCTGTCATTTATAGTTGATGGAACTACATCAGTCTGTTATAAAATCATATCATACAATTACACTTATCAGGCACTTACATTTGTTGGCGTAACCATGAGTGGTGTAACAATGACTTTCAGTTTCTCCATGGATGATACTTCACTACTATCATCTAAATCAACGTATTCTTTCCAAGTTTCCTTGTATCTTTGAAATGTAACAGCAATGTGAACGTTACCCTAATGAATGATATCCATGAAGTATTTTGTGCTGGTATGAGTGTGATTACTAATATTATAGCCAAAATGCTTGTACTTAAAATTTGCCCATACCCATTATGATTATGAGCATAATTACATAACTGCAGGCTTGTAGCCAGGTTGTAAAGAAAGGGAGGGGTTACAAAAGGGATTGACAAATGTTGTAAAGAAAGGGAGGGGTTACAAAAGGGATTGACAAATAGCTAAGTTCGCTGCAGGTGTACCAGAACAAATTATACCAAAAATCATGTATCATTTCAATTATCAAACAAAAAGACCCTTTCCCAAAAGAATTTGACAACTCCACAGAAAATAATTTAGATAAACCGGAAACCTTACACAGCATGACTTCAATTCATACCTGGTACTTCAAATTGTGTCTAAATTCGTTTTCAAGATACTGAAATATTCACTTCCTTATTTCTATTTAGATATGACAAAAGAACAGGTTCTTTCCATGCCTAGGCAGTCCAGCTTGAGGTCCAGCTAAAGAAAGCAGACTGAAGAAAAAGGCTCACGATTAACACCACGAGGTGAGAAGTGAAAGGAGGTGTTAACAATTCAGAATATATGGGTGGGGAAATGGGTGTCTGCTTACTTCAAACCACACTCATTCGTCAAAATGGTCTTTCTGTGTCCAGTGTGCTATAGAGCAGCATTCAAGACTCTAAAAAAGGTTATTAACTACATTGGCCTCGTTCATTCCTTTGATTCTAACTTTTACTTGAGATGTGATCTTGGCATTATCGTTCGTTGTGATTTATCATGGGCCAGTCATTATGACTCCCATCTTCTGCAAAGCCTACATTTCTTTGTATTTAATTTGTAAGACTTTCTCTACCTCTCTCTACTGTGCCGTTAAAAAGATGTACCTATCTATGTTGCGATCCAAGTTGTGTTACGCCTCCCAGTTGTGGTGTCCTCAGATAAAGAAGCATATTATATTATTAGAGAGAGCTAGTACAGCGTAGAGCATCGAAGTATGTGTCAGGTGATTATACCTCTTCACACTGAGACAGATTGATACAGCTCTCCTTATTCCTCTTAATGTAGTTGCTTGAACTACTTGACATTATGTATCTTGTTAAGTTTCTCAAGTTCCCATGCATCTGACAACATGTCCATACTGGAATTCGTCTCATTCAATGTTTCTGCCACAAAGTCATCAGCCTCTGATAAGCTCAAGCACAATTTCTTCCGTACTTCTAGGTCACATCATTCATACTTTAACAGGATTGTGAGATTGTGGAATAAACTACTCCAAATAGACCTTACTGAATCTGTGGCTACCATCAAAACTAAGTTATGTATATTTCTCTGGAATCATTTTTTACAGAACTTTCATTCAGCAAATCTATGTACTTTTCATTTCATTTGCCCTTGATCTTCCTGTCTTTATTAGTTGTTTACATTATATTAATTTGCATGTGTGTCGTTTTTTTAATTTTTTTTTCTCTCCTCTCCTCTCTTTGTTTGTACTTTATGGCTACTCTAATTTTTTGGAGTCAGACCCTCGACACTTATCTAAATTTTCTATCTTCTCCTTGTCTATGTTTCTATCCCTGTTTTTGTGAGTTGTTAAACTATAATAATAATAACAAAAATAATAATGCGATAATTATTATTATTGTTATTATTATCATTGTTATAACAATAATAATAATAATAATAATAATTGTATCACCATCTCCTACCAGTCCAATAAGTAGTACATTAACTTTTAGGAACTAGTTATAATAGGGAATGAGAAAGAGAGAAAGGGAGAGAAGAGAAGTTTTGTCTTATAAAATCTTAAAGATTTCATTAGCTGTGTAATTTATGTACATGTACAAACTGCAATGTAAAATGTACTTTTTAAAATACATGTACATGTAGGATATTTATAGTCTCCTAAAAGTATGGTAAAAGTGTATTGCTTGTAATGGTATACAATGTACATGTACTGGTATACATGTATGTACAAGCATATTAATAAAAAATATTGTATTTATTGCTGCAGTTTTGGATCTTTCTGAGATTTGGTGTCATTTTTTATAACATCCAGCACTGACAAGGAGAGACTTATTAAATTTCTTTGTTATTGACTATCATGTGTTTGTCCATGTATGTTATGTATTTTGATAGATTTCACAGTTTTTTATAAACGTTAAAGCGATCAATGTGCATGAGATAGCATCAATTGTACATCAATATAAATGCATCAATAATCTACATGTATCAGAAAGATTAAATCATCGCGGAGTTTCAATTTAAGGATAATAATGTTTATTGTTTTTGATGGCTGTTATATAGTTGCCTTCAGTTGTGTAGGTGACATCCATCTTGTTTCTTAGCTGGAGTAGTTTTGTGTCTCCTTCCTTTCAGTCTAGAGAACTACTGAATGAATCTACCAGAAGAAGCTCACATATGTCGCTAAATGCAGTCAACAGCTTTGACTCCTCTTCATTGGAGAACAATAAATTAGCTGTCACTTTCTTCTCGCACAAATTTAGAGACTGAAGAATGGAGCATTTGCTACATTTAGAATAAGTAGTGTCAGCCACCATATAAACTTTACTGGAACAATTGATACTGGAATAGTGTACTGTGTAGTTTTGTACTCCAATGATCTCAGCTTGTTTAAGTTGCAGTGTTGCTTCGTACACTCCTTCAGATACTACAACTGTGTAACCTGGAGTAAAAATTGTGTTGCTTGAAAATTGGAGTGTCTTCTCTTCCCTGTAGCTTTTGACAGTCAGGAATTTAAAGTCGTATGCACTGCTTTTCTCCAATTTATCAATATTATTCT